GGGTAGGGGGAAGGGCGGAGGTAGATTGGGGAAAGGGGGTCAAATATGTGGTGACAGAAAAAAATCTAACTATGGGAGGTGAACACACAGTGTAAACATATATAACTTACTGTTCAAGTGTTGAAATGAAACTTATTAGATTTCCTTAACCAATGTCACCATAAAAAATAAATAAATAAATAAGAAGGACAAGTACCAATAACTCTTTAATTAAAAAAAAAAAAAAAAAGCAGCTCTCTGGATGATTCTTGTGCTTACTAAATTTTGAAAACTGTTAAACTAGATGATCCGGGGCAACTGATCCTAATTATACCAGTATCCTAAGATCCTGTTGCTTGATTCTTAATCACTTTTTGCTTGAATAGCCGGTATTTTTCTAATTACTAAGGTAGAATTATTGAATAGTTGACATTTTCTGGCATTATTGTGGCTCAATTTCCTAATGCTGAAAACAATTACTGATTCATGAAAAGAATTATCCTGTTTTATATTAAGCTTTTTGGAATTGACCTCAAAGCCATGAATTTTCTGGCTATGGGAATGCTATTAAAGCAAAAATTAGTTTAACTGTTTCTTTGAGACACTTCAACGTTCTGGATTTATAACCTATGGGTTTTCTGAATGGTCATGTTCCATAAGTGTGAGCTGTATGTCATAAAGACTACCAGTTACCAGCTCAACTACAAATAAAATTCCAAACAGAACAATTATAGCAGTTTGCAGGTATCTCTTGTAAAATCAAAAAAAGTGAAAACATATAGTAGCCTTGTGTTTTCATATCTTCCTAAGGAATAAATCAATTAATACCCATAAACCCTGAAATGATTGCTTAAATTAATTTAAGAATATAATTAACTACTAATATCCTTCACTTTAATAGCTCTGTGCACTGTTAAACATTTAAATTGTACTTAATCAGATTATCTTTGTGTGCTGGATTCCAATTTAATGAAGCTGGGGCTTTTCCTTTCTGACTTGAAAAATCAAAATATTAAGAATATGATGTCACATTTAACAGGTTGGTAACTACTATTAGATTCTACAGCTCTTGGCCATTGAGATTCACACTTAATTTAACCAGATATACTGGAGAGTTCCTGAACTGGGTGATGTAAGAGCAATAGGGAAAAAAAACTGTATTTGAAAACTATCTTAGGTATTAATTTCCAAACTGTATTTGTAAGCCCTGGTAGCAAATAATGTTTTCAGGAGTATCTGCAAACAAGGATTTTAAGAATATTGAAATACACAAAGTATATTTGCTATCTATCATTGAAGAGGTGGTGTGTTCACATAGTTTAAATATACTTTAACTCTTTTGCTTTTAAAAAACTTGCTTACAAAAGAATTGAACAAAGTCCCCATTTAATGTCCAATAATAATAAGAGTCACAGACCGAAACACACAATTTTACCCCTACTCATGAAATGTAACTTAGGCAATGTTATGCGCTGAGTTGTGTCCTCAGCAAATTCATATGTTGAAGACT